GAAGCAGATGTACATGGCCAGGCTGCAGCAGGTAACGCAGCAGGCGCAGCGCGGGCAGCGTGCGCTGCAGCTGCAGCTCTACAAGGCACAGCAGGAGAAGAAGAGGCTGCAGGAGGAGCTGAGCATGCAGCAGTGCCAGTGTGAGGAGACCAAACTCCGGCAGTCTCAGGGCGAGCGTGTCAGCCCCAAGATGGAGGAGACCAAGTGGGAGGTGAGTCCCCTTCCTTCCCTCCCCGTTGCCACCCTCTTGGCCATAGAGCCAGGATGGGGACAGCAGTTCCCTGCTCTGGAGTCACTCGTGGCCATAGGATGGAGGGTGATGAGCCAGGTGTGATGCTCATGACCTCCCAGGGGTCCTGCTCCCCCAGCCCTTCCTCACCGCTCACCTGCCCTGCAGGTGTGCCAGAAGGCAGCAGAGATCTCTCTGCTGAAGCAGCAGCTCCGGGACACCCAGGAGGAGATGGCTCAAAAGCTGGGTGAGATCTTCAGCCTGAAGACGCAGCTGCGGGAGGCCAAGGCAGAGGTCCAGGCCAGGGACTCCCAGCTGGCACAACTGGCAGACTCCTTCCAGAGCCACCCGGAGCCCAGCGCCTCGCTGCCGCTGGGTGATGACCCCATGCCGGCCTGCCAGGATTTCCCCGGCTGCGAAACTGATGACTCCAAGTGCCGGGGCCTTCACAGCGACACGGCGGAGCCCCTGGAGCGGCAGGTGGAGTGGCTGTGGGCAGAGCTGCTGAGGGAGCGGCGCCAGGGCCAGCTGCAGGCTGTGAACTTTGAGCTGGAGAGGAAAACCTGGCAGGAGGAGAAGGAGAAGGTGCTGCGGTACCAGCGGGAGCTCCAGGCCAGCTACATGGAGATGTACCACCGAAGCCAGGCGCTGGAGCGGGAGCTGCGCCAGCTGCGGTCGGAGCCCAGGGATGTCGGGGCTGACTCGCCATGGATCGAGCGGGTGGAGTCCTCGAAGATCTGAGTGGCAGGACGCCGGCAGGACTGTGAAGGGGGAAGGTCTCTTGCTGCTGCAACGGGATGATCTCAGGGTCTGCACAAGGACTGGCTGCTCGGCGCTGCCCTGGGGTGAGGGACTGATCGCAACAAGGGAGCTTTTCCTTCTTGCAGTGCTTCAGGCCCTTCTTGGGGGGTGGTCTCTGGAGACGGGGAGGTCATCTGTGCCAGGGTGGTGGGGTCTTGCATGTGCCCCCGTGCTCTGACTCCAGGAGCGTTTGCCCTGTGATTCCTTCTGCCACAGGGGGCAGAACCAAGCACCCTGTGAGATGTTTCCTGTCCCTGCTCTGCCACCCCTGTTCCCTACACCCCAG